AAAAATAGGCCACCAGGTTGTTTCACGACGGCAGCTCAGCTAGGGATCCGGTCAGGCGACGTCAAGCCGACATAAGAAGCTGGGTCAACTGGATTTTCTTGGACCTGGATCTACTTTGAGAGCCGCTATTCATTTACAACTTGAATCAACATGCTCATCAAGAGTCATCATCATCATCTCATTGAGTGATACATAAAAGTGAGCAAGATTTCAAGAGTTCTCTAAAGAATGTTTACTGAAGGATTATTACAATTTGGGCCCCTTACGACACAATCTAGTTTTGTAACTGTTTTGATCTCTTACAACTCCTTCAAATAAATTATAAAATGAATTCTATAATGCTGTATACTAAATTTTCAAATCGAAAAAATGATCAATTATTCCAATAAATCCTTGTCAGCCCAATGATATGCATTCTGATATTCAAATTCCGAATTTGAACAATTAGAAAAAATCTCAATGAATTCGAGGGTTGAGATGCATTGATATGTGATTGGAATTTGAACAAGCCAAAAAAAAATGAATTCATCTTGATGAGTTCCAACAGTATCTTTGAAAGCATTGACTGCAAAGACCTTCCCTTGGAATTTTCTGTCGTTCTCGAGACCTATCAACCACAGCGCAGGCGAGACATGCGGACCAAAGTGGATCACGAAATACTCGGTTTTTGATATTGTCGGCGCTAGGGAATCCTCGATAAGCGACTTCTGAAGCTGCACCAACAAAAGCTTCGACTTGTCTACGTGGATACTAAGAATGGAATTCTCTCAGATTTCAGATCTACTAGATTTTTATGAAAGAGATTGGTTATCTTACCTGGATTTGATCTACTGATGTGTTTGTGATACCAGCTGATCCATCTAGAGGGGCTGAATTAGGTAGCCATACGATCAACGGGGCGGCCGTCTCGTCACAACCGAAAAAAATCGGATGCGATCTTATCTTCTCGTACTCCACTTCCGAACTTGGTACGCGAGGAAAATTGTAGGCACCTGACATAAGCTGAGCTCTGGCGAATGTGGCTTGTAGCGAATTCCCGGTGGCATAATTTGATCCTGCTGCTGCATCCTATATGATATGCCAAAATACTTGCATTAGAAGCTGAACATGTAAGGGTAGATAGCAAGGCGTGGTAGTAAGTATTGAGGGGGTACTGACCTTAGTTAAGCTGATTGAGTCGATACCAATGATAATGTCTACTTTTCGGGCTGGGATCAGCAGTGGGAGATAGGGTGTCACAGCTGTAAAGAGCATTTTATGTAAATCAGACTAGTGAGATGATCTGAGGGTAGGATATCAATCTTACCACCATCGTAACCTCCGTCAAGGAGCCGAAGATCGGTGGATTCTCTGTCCAGATAAGTATTGGTCCCAACCTGATAGAAAGGATTGGGGACTGAGGCTGTGTCGAGAGATATACCAGGTTGAGAGCTTGCAAAAGTGTTGTTAATGGAGGTGATGATATTGTGTACTGAACTCTGGTTAAAGAAGTAAGCTGTACTGATGTTGAGTTTTGGAAATATATTACTGGAGATAGCAGCAAGATAACTAGCTTGATCAAAACCTTGAGCGCACTTCTGAGATGTTAAATTTCCACTTTTTAAGCGAGTACCTAGATATTCTGTTGGTATAAAGCTAGCCAAGTTTGCATCCCAACTTCCTGACTCTATTGGTGTGAATTCGTATGCGGTGTTCGTCAATGGGACGAAAGCCCCAGGTTGCAGTTTTTTGTCTTGGCCAGGTGAGATCGGGAGAGCCGTGATGATAGGGAAAGGTTGTTCAAAACGTTGAAAGCTGGAGCTGAGCGTAGAAAAGAAGGATATGCAAGTAAGCCACCATATCAAGATTCCGCTCTTCGTATTTGAGCAAAATTCCTTACACTTTTCTGATACTCGAGAAAGTGACATCTACACCGTGTGGTAGAGATTGATCAAAGAAGTTATGTTCCGTGGTTCCATTGATGATACGATAACGAAGCAGTAATGACCAAAAGTCTACCATGGTGACATGAAATCCAGCCTTGGACTTTTGGGCCATTTTTGCCATGATATCGGCCAAATAATTTGCATTCTTCTCTGCAATTCCTTTTCCATCATCAACTGTTTGATTATCGGCAGGCTGATAGAAAAAGTTGACATCAATTTTCGAACAAAGAACTCATGATCATCAAACTCAACTCACACTGAACAAATCATATTGAACCAAAAAACTTCCAAAGTGGTTTTCTTTGTTTAGATTCTGTTTTGGATTCTTTGAAAGGGCTGTATCATATAATGATGGATAATTAGCCTGAGAGAGAGCAGTGACCACCCAAGCACCACCACTGAGACCGACTATATAATCGCTGGCTTGTAAAAGTCCACCCGTACCAACATCAGATGAAGTTTTGTTTCTTGCGTCGAATGCATTCAAAACACCGCTCGAATACAATGCCGCGCGGAATCCTCCACCAGAAGCTGCCAATGCAGTACGAGGTAGGATGTTGAGATTCTTTGATGTGAGTATAGTATCGAGATAGGCAGGTATTACATTATTACTGGATACAGTATGGTTCCAATCACCTAGTTTTCGGCGGGTATTCGCATCAACTGCCGGTGCAGCTTTCAAAGATTGTTTTACATTGCGCAGATAAGTCCTGTAAGCTGGACCCGCTACTTGTTGACGACGGCGCTGGAGGTAATCAACTTCAGATGGATTCAATTTCTGAGAGCCTTTTGTACCGGCATTTCTAAGTGTGAAATTGCCTGGACATTGAATGTGAGCGATGGTGGCCGCATGGTTGGGAAAGGATAAAGTATAGACAAAGAAGAATAAATAATTGAGGGCGAGAAAAGTTGAACAGTTGGAAGATTTAAACATTTTGACAGCCAGCTATGAGAAGAAAGAAAGAATGAGGAGACCGGATGGTTGTAGGATAAGTGTCGTGGTGAGTAAATGCACAAGGAATCAAATCAGTTCATTTGAGTGAATAACATAACATCGTAAGAAAAAAATTGATGAGAGGAGAATTGAAGTTGAACTCTGTAAGAGATCAAACTTGGTGATAGAGTGAAGACCGAGAACTGCACGGAAGCCTGCTTCATTGAATGAATGCTCACTCATTCAAATTCTTTCGATTTCGATATATTCCATCATCGATACTTCAAAAAGGGGGGTTCCAGGGCCTATACCCTAACTACATTCTTCACTTGAGCAAATCAAATCGTTTTTTACATTTAGGTTGATCATGACGATGTTGTGATGCATAAGTCACCAACCCCCCCTTCATTCAACGAGCCAGGCTGATTGAAGATTTTTGCAAAGTATGAGCAGGTACGACTGACCCACCTCGGGCGTCAGGAAAGTACACTTGGACAATGTGGCACGTGATCGTCCCACGGGATTCGTGTATTTTCATGCTGATCGTCTTATTACACATGAATCTGATTCCGCATCTTCAGGCCATACCCACCAGTTCTTTTGGAAGTGTACGTCGACCACGACGTCCCTTCCAAGATTTAATGACTGCCAGTGGTAGCTCTGTGGTCATATGTTTTCCGCCAGAATCGAGTGAAATTCCAAAACTAGGATCAATCTGCACTTAACCAAGGCCCCTTCATCGAGCGAGCAATCCTCACCCCAGGAGAGGGTCCCACGGCGCGCGTGGTGGGGCTTGTGTTAATCTAGGGATCAATCCGGGTGTGAGAAAAAAAAACCTTGCTCAAGTTTTCTACCTTGTGGGTCAACCCAAGGTGTACGAGGAGGTCTCACCAGATGAAGATGACATCGCGCTCTCATGCAAGACCTTAACTTAACTGGATCCCACAGTCAGACATATGTTCTTGCAAAATCAGGGTTCGTGGTGTACTGTTGGTGACGGTGAGCAGTGAGACATTGTGCTGGATGGCCCGCTTTATCAATGTCTCACTTGAAGGTTCACATCAATTGTATCACTGACTGTAATGCAACCAGGCGTCATCCAGGGTGGCAATGTGGAACAATAGGGGCTCTCAAACCTGACCTGGTTTTCAAAAACCCAGTTGACCCAGTTGACCCAGTTGACTTTTTGGCAGTAACTTTGTATATAAATTTGAAATTTATTGACAGCTCCCAGCCAAAAAGTCAACTGGGTCAACTGGGTTTTTTGAAACCGGGTCAGGTTTGAGAGCCCCTAATATTGTGCTATTTTGAATGTGAAGTCAATATCAAACCTCTCTGTGCGTAACCAAACAGGTCTTTATTTCATATATCTTCAGTCCAACCTCATATTGTGAAGTTAATAGTTATCATATTCTCATAATTAACTGGTTCTATCCCTAAATAAGTCATCAGGATAGTATCAAGTATATATAACATTTCAAGAGCCACAAGCAAAATAGTAGATGTATTATTAACTTGTGGAAGCAACACAAGGCATCAATAGAATATTTGTTCTATATTGTCATTAACTTGTGCAAGCAAATCTACACATCAGTATATCAATGTTAATATATTCTCAATAAGTCCTCAGGATAGTATAAAGTTATATAAGATTTCAAGGGCCATTATCCTTCAACTTATGCATGATTGTAAACAGCAAAGAACAATCCACTTGTACAAGCAAAACATGTCATCCGTCTGATGTGTAATATATATTCTCCTTACATCAACTTGTGTGTGCAAGCCAAATAAGTCATCAGTATAGTATATATATGATATCAACAGAAAGAGTTATCAATGATTAACTTATGCAATTGATCAAAGGGAAACAATCAAATATGGCAAGCAAGAAAGTTAACTGCAAGAACCATAAGAAGAAACATATTTACCAAAGTAAACAGTTGTTCATTTGAATCAAACAATACAAAAGTATCCTATATAGTAAGCATAAAACCATGTTGGCAATGATATAATAATATATAATTGCCAACAGCACTCATATAGATATTTATAGATTCTTGACTAAATCTATACTTGGTCATTCAATACAACATCAGTTTACTTTATTCATGACTGGATTGTAAACATTAGCCCAATAATCTTTACTGAGGTATACATCTGTCTCTAGTGTATGTATCCTCAATTTGGTACAGTCAAACCTGTGCAATTGCATAATTTGGGTGGAAGACTTTTCCTATGCATTTTGACGGGTTATGCAATTCCATTGTCTAATTTGGCGGTAAAAAGTATCAAGATCTAGGAATTTTTCTATGCATTGTCACAGGTTATGCTGCTGCATCTGCGCAGGTATGCATTTGCACAGGTTTGACTGTATGTATATTTTCATTTTGTTAACGCGCGCAAGCAAAACAAGTCATCAGTATAGTATATATATGATATAATAAGCCACAGTGATCAGTAAATGAACACTTTGTTTCCTTTGATTACCCATTACAACAGTGGACTGACAATCTTTAATGGTAATGACAAGTGATTGATTGTCTGAATTGAAATGGCTTGTCATATAACTTACGCACACATGAGTGTAAAAAGATGGTGTACCATAAGATATCAAAAGCAACAGTTATCATATAATCAACTTATGCATGTTTGTAAACAGCAAAGAAGTATCATCTAGCATCATCTAGCATCCAAAATTCTGAGTCGATGAGGTATTTAAATCCATTAATAAACATAGCTACACTTTACACTCATAGATTGCCGAGAATAAATATATCTTGTATGGACTTGCGTCTGGAAAGGAAAGATGCAAAGGTATTTCTAACATTTGTCTCTATAAAATTTTATTAGTGATTCAAATACTAATGTCTTTAATAATTCACATACTAATGTTTTTATTATAGGATGTACATAAGAGCACCTTTCCTACAACACTTACAGGATGATCAATGTTATTTATCAACCAGTACCACAAACAAAGTATGTCAACCTTTTTTTCTATGTAACTATCAACTCCAAGATAATGTAAAGGCCAGTTTGAATGAATCTCACCAAATTTATGACCAAAACTACAGATTGTAGAACATGAGCATCAAGATGTTGTGTTATTTGGATTTTGGATTGGTTCATTATCACAGTTGGTAAAGAGATCAGTGTAAGACATTGTTTGGGACCCAAGTCTTAGTCTTATATTTTTTGATAGAAGGCTGGTCATATCACATATGAAAATCACTATTGAGACACACATGAAACCATAATCAAAATGAGAAACGGAAAACACAAAAACACCACAGATAAACTGAATAATTGTATACAATAAATTAGGAACAGTCTACACTTGTTCTTCCCTGGGCTTCTTTTGCCAAGACCGCTCCTGTGCAGAAGTGTGTGGCATGTCTTGATAGAAAAATTGGAGGGCGGAAACAGAAGCCAAAGCAAAGAATCACTAAACTCTGCCTTACTAATACCTCTGCAAGCCGCATGCAAGCCGCAGAAACTCTGGCTGGCCCAGAATAGGTGTCAGCATGAGCATACAGCGCAAGTGATATGCACAGAGGCGGAGATTGGAGATTGGGCCAGGACCCCGGCTAACTCCTATGACCCCTAGGGACGAAAAAGGAATGAATCGGGCCCTCTGATTTTTGCTAGGTTAGGGATGAAAAAGGAATGATCCGCCCCGGCCCCGGCCCTATGTTAGGGACCTCAAGGAATGAATGTGATTCGGGCCAATTTCTGTTTTTTAAATGTTACCGATGTACCAGGAATGAACTGCTTGGTAGCTGAGTGAAAAAATCCTTAAGCATCAAAGCAAAAAAACATTAACACTTCATAATCGACATGCGTTCATACAAAGAAATAAAGAAGGAGATCATACATCTATCACAGAACTGCGAGTTTATCCGTGCAGCTACCACAAATGATCTCATCTATACCAGCTTCAAATCACCACCTCAACTCGCTGAATCAGAACAAGACGTAGGCATCTTTTGGTCAGTGAACACCAAAATGAACAAAATATGTGGTGTCAACAACATTCAAAATGAACTATTCACGGGTCTTCATGGCGTGGAGAACCTCATGGGCTGGCTTGACAAAGCACGAGAACATCCCACCTGGGATCGAAATTCTGAAAAACTCTTGTTGACAACACTGGAAGTCATACACAAGCATCTGATTGGTGAGTTACAGCTTCTCATTCAAGGCTGTCCCTCATGTCCACCCCACTAACATGTCATCTCATCAAATTTCCACTTTAGATCACGGAGCTGTGCTTCCTGAACCACTTCTGTGTACTTCAAAGGAGAAATCCAATGCCACTTCAACCTCTGTTACCAAAAATCCCACCAGCTCTACCTCGAGTGTTACAAAAGGTGTCAAAGGTCTACCTTCAAGATGCCCAAACGCCACACCAGGTGCTCCTTGTACTATGTGTCGCGTGGATCAGACTACCAATAAGAAGCTCTTCCGCTGTCACTGCGGTGAATCCATCACAACACCCGGTGGTCGCACACAGAATGTGCTAGTCCATTGGTCATCTGGCAAGTGGATTTTTCACAAAAATTACAGTTAAAGTGAAGTCTGACTTCTTTTTCACTATTAACTTCAACAATTTTTCTTTGTATTAGGATCTTGTAAAAAAAAGGTTGATGCCATGCGTCAACAGCCTTCGATTGGTGCTTTCTTGGGAACAAAGCGACCTGCCCCAGAAATCAACGATATCAGCCCCAAAGAGCATGAAGCCAAACGTCGAGCATGGCAGACACCATGTTGTGGATTGAACGATGAGACTTGGTCGCGTCCAAAGGCTAAGTACCCAATAATAGATTGCATAATTGGATCAACTACCATATTCCACGGGGCTCCCCGGCGCGATCTACTCGCTATTTCAATCTTCAAGGTCCCTGAAAGCGAATTAACTGCTGAACAGAAAGCCAAGTTGACTCAAGAACGACATGCTCGAGCTACCTGGCGAATCGATCGACACGCCGAAGTCAAGTCGATTTTCTCAACCAAATGTCTTGGGGTGATCCTCAAGCAAGCCGGGGTAGACTCGCCGGTCTGTACTGAATGTCTTGCAATTCGAAACGATGGAAGTCTTAAACACGCTCTGAACAAACCCTGTGCAACCCCTGAATGCCGGAAATTCATTAGGGATGACTACACTGCTGAAGATGTGTATCATGCTGCTCGACAGGATTGTCCAGACTTTGATCTTGCTGCTACTAGTCTAGAGAAAGCGACGAAATTGGGAGACAAAGAATTCTTCCAAGTCTTTGCCCATCGAGGAGCAATTGGAGCATTTGATCATCTCGACATTTTCAAAGGACTTCTTAAAGCAGTTGCTGTACGAACCGAGCGAACTTCAGCTGGGAAGGGGACAACTGGGATGCAATTTCAATCCTACTTCGATGATTTTGTGATGACACTTGCTGCCATGAGCCCCAAGGCTGCTCAATTTTTTACCGAGAACTTTGCTGGTCGTGGGTTACGCAGTCAGCGTCATTTGAGAGCCGCTACCGGAATGCAGCTTGCACATGGTCTTTGTCAACAAAACTTTACTCGACTGGTGGATGCTCTCAACGCAATCGGTTACAAAGGTCCTCTTGCCGCTGGATCAGATGAAACAAAGTGTGAACAGACCTTACGTGTCCACAACGACTATGTGGTGGGTGCTCATGGTGGACCGATCAAGATTACATCAACTGAACAATTGACAAAGACATGCAAAGAGCTTCTGGAAAAAAACGAGCTATCTTCCAAGGTATCTAGGTACTATACACACCCTTGTCTATTACAATCAAAGCTAACTATTGCCTTCTGTAGTTACGATCATATGTTGTTCAGGTACCTCTGCCCAACATGCCAAGCTATGTTGTTGCCTTACTCCCTAGCCGAGGAAATGAAAATGCAAATGATGTCGCACAACTGCATGATACCTTCCTAGCTCTAGCCAAGGATTGTGGCTTATCAATCTTGTCAATTGGAGCCGATGGTGCTGCCACCGAAGTCTCAGCACAGGCCAAACTAATCGAAAAAGCCGCAGGTCATTTGGAATTCAATTTTAAAGATGTTGACCTTCACATCAAAATTCCTCTCTTTGGTCGGCAACGCAAACCCCTAATCGCAGTTCAGGATCCTAAACACGCTCAAAAAACCGGTGCAAATCAAATCCTTTCGGGTGCTCGACTCATCTCATTTGGCTGTTACTACATCAGCATTGGTCAGCTTGCCCTAGTCATTGAAAATGCAAACTCTTCGCTTTACCAGAAAGATGTTTTCAATGTTGATCGGCAAGACGACGGCCGAGCATATCGAACCTTCAACGATGAAACATTCAAACTTGCAATTTCACTAGATGACTGTATCGGCCTTGCCGTGTATCTCTATATCATCGGTGAAGCTTGTGATGCTTGGCTGAATCAAACTATGAGCCATGAAGATCGACTCTTATCAATCTTTACATCTTATTATTTCATAGAAAGATGGGAAGTATACCTTCAGGAACGGCAGAAGGATTCACCGGGCCTCATGTCTGTCGATCGTAACGGAATCTCACACGAGTCTTTCAAGACTTTCAAGCATCTTGCGATATCTTTACTCATGTTAATTCTAGCTCATCGCGAATTCTACCCAGATCATCCACTCATGCCTTGGAAGCACGGAACCGAAGCGTGTGAGCATATATTTGGATGGATGCGTGTCATCTTGCCCAACTTCACATTTCTGGATGCAATGCAGATGATGCCTAAAATCTTTACCATCATCAAAAACATCATGATGAAGAGGGTAAAAATGCCCACTGGTGAACACATCCACTCAGGTCAGTTTTTTTACTCATTTATGTTTAAACTACTCTGACATGATTCCTTTTACATCGATCTAGGGTCTCAATACTCCTGGAATCAAGCAAGCACTGATAGTACATCTTCATCTCATCTTGCTACCTTTCCAAGTGACGAAAGGATCAATCGTATACTATCACTAGCAAAGAATCGTTCCAAATCGCTACTTGAGTTCACCGGCATGCAAGAAAATCATGATGGTCCGCCGGTGCCTCCGAGTTCTACCCAGGACGATCCCGATGAAGTCGATCCTTTGGAATTGTTTCAAGTAGCACCACCTGAAACAAATATTCTAACACCCCATATAGTGATTGATGCGGAAACCGATGACGCGGTTAAGGAGTCGGCTGCTATGATTGGACGACGTCATGACCTGGACAGTCAATTAGAAGATCTAGGCCTGAATGACGATACAATCGAGTCAGACTATATAGATGCTGGTAAAAGATCTTTGCAAGAGATCAAAGCGTCAGATTCTACTGTTCAACTAGCTTTGAATCAAGTCAACCTTACATACGAAGCTTCTCAATATTTTGTTGATTTGGATGGAATGCTCAATCAGGAGCTTCTGTTGAATCTTCGAGTGAAGCATGACTCACAAGTTGGTAGGAAGAAGGGAAACGAACGCAGGAAAAAGCAGCCTCCAGAGAACAACTCCTCAGCTCCTGATGTTAATGAAGTACCGGGTAAAATTGATCCAAGGACCTGTAGCAAGATTGTTGCATCAATTGTCAAAAACGCCAAAGGCCTTGAGAAAGTTGTAGCTAGGATTCACCGGTGGAACATACATGTACCATTATCCATGCATCGCCTTAAGATCAATGCACCTTCAAATATTACTATCCCAACGCAAACACTTTTCAATGAAGGTTCAGTTTCACAAACCAATCCACTTGAACCTGGTAAATTCGTGGTAGTCATCAAGAAAAAACTATGTCTTTACTCACTTTTTTGTGATTAACTGCTCTACTAATGACTGTTTCTTTTTGTTAGAAAATATACATCGGAAAGATCCTAGAGATTTATGCGTACAAGAATGGACATCATGAGTGGCAAACAACTGCCAGCTCTCGTGACAAGTGAAAAGCGACAAATCTCCTTTGTCGAGATACCTGAATTCCCGTGACAGTTTCTAGAAGTGAGTCTCAATCACTTCTCGTCACAATACCTGAAACACTAACCTGAATTCCCGTGACAGTTTCTAGAAGTGAGTCTCAATCACTTCTCGTCACAATACCTGAAACACTAACCTATAAGGTTTGTTCAGGTCACAATATAAAATAAGGAAAAGGGTCGACGCGATGAGTTCAGTAAGATTCTTTTCCTTTCCGTAAGAAGACGGATCAATTTCACCTGAATTCCCGTGACAGTTTCTAGAAGTGAGTCTCAATCACTTCTCGTCACAATACCTGAAACACTAACCTATATAGAACAAAAGATAGAAATAGACAAGTACAAAAAGGACACTACTTGTTAGATGAAGAGAATAGAAAGAATAGACCAGTTGACTATGTATCTGACCTATAAGGTTTGTTCAGGTCACAATATAAAATAAGGAAAAGGGTCGACGCGATGAGTTCAGTAAGATCTAGCGTTGACAATGATTCAGATGAAAAAGAAAAAGATAACATCACAGTATGATAATTAGTAACAGTCATATTGAAGATCAAACTAATGGAGAGTAGAGACTATTGATGATAATGTAGTGAAGGGGTTGAACTTACTCTTTTCCTTTCCGTAAGAAGACGGATAAAGGAAAAGAGTATTAGCGCGAAAAGGGGGAGGCGCAATTTAAATAGGGATCATTTAAGTTTGAGTCTGACATCTTAAGTTTGAATAAAACTACTGTATTTTAGTATGTAAAGTGATTTGATACTTAGAGTCTTATTCACCTTTCACCACGGCTGAAACCTAGGTACGAGAGACTGAGGTGTCTCTCAACACACCCCCTGTTTCAGCTGTCCGTGTATGACTTCTAAACCAATTTGATGACACAATTCCTTGAATGGTCCGGGGTGAAGTGGTTTTGTTAATGTATCAGCAAACATGTTCTTTGTACTAATATGCCTAAGCTTGATTAAATTCTTCTCCACTTGTTCTCTTATCCAATGGTACTGCACTTCTATGTGCTTTGTTCTTGCGTGAAAAAAAGCTTTCTTGGTCAAGGATACTGCACCTGTACTATCGCTGCATAGAACCGTGGCTTCAGATTGAGGTAGTGAGATGTTTGACAATAATCCTCTAAGCCATACTACTTCTTGACCAGCCTCTGTTGTAGCTTTGTATTCGGCCTCGGTTGATGATAGAGAAACGGTGGGCTGTAAACGACTTTTCCAACTTACAGCAGCTCCGTTAAGTTTGAATAGATAACCGGTAGTTGATCGTCGTGTGTTCGGATCACCAGCCCAATCTGAATCAGTGTGGCATTCAGGATAGCACCAGCTCTGATTCCCTTCGATAACATTGTCTTGAGGTGAATAATGTAGTCCTAAGCATTGAGTACCTTTCAAATATCGAAGTACGTGTAATCCCATCTGCCAGGCTATAGTTGAAGGTCGTGAAAGATGTTGAGACAGAGCACCTACTGCATAAGCAATATCCGGCCTTGTACCCTGAGCAATGTACATTAGGCTACCCACCAAGCTGTTATACGGAAGGTTAGATTGTTTGAATTTGATAACGTCAGAGTCGGTGGCTTTCATGATCTTTGTGCCGCCTGGAAAAGGAGTCGAAGCTGGTTTGCTATCTTCAGCATGAAATCTTTCCAGTACCGTCTGGATGAAAGCTGATTGACTTAAAGCATAACCCCCATTGTCTGTGGAGTAGATCTCAATACCAACAACGCAATGTGCCGGACCCAAGTCCTCCATCTTCCACTTCATCTTCAGCAGGGATTTGATTTCATCTATTTTATCTCCGGTGATTGCCATATCATCGACGTGGAGGTAGAGTAAAGTTTCCAAACCTTCTTCATCTTTACCATACCAAAGACAAGCATCATGGGGGTTTTGAATTAGACCAATACTTAATAATTTATCTTTAACTTCGTCACTCCAGCATCTAGCGGACTGCTTGAGGCCATACAACGCTTTCTTCAGTCTAGCTACCTTCCCGTTTGCTCGCTCAGAGTCGTATCCTTCAGGTAACTCCAGATAAATTTCCTCCTTGAGATCACTATTGAGAAATGCGGCTATAGCATCCATTTGCTCAATAGACCAATTCTTAGCTGCTGCAACTGCTACAAGGATACGAAATGAAGCTAGACGGCCAGTGGGTGCGAAAGTATCATTGAAATCTATGCCTTCCGTTTGAGTATAACCTTTTGCTACATATCTTGCCTTATGTTTAGATATTGTACCATCGGGATGAACTTTATATTTGAAATGCCAACGCCCACCTACTACAGGTGCATTCTTTGGTCGGTCCACAATTTCCCACACTCCCATGTTCATAATGTTCTGCATCTCCTTGTCACACGCAGCTTTCCATTTGTCAGCATCGGGCATCTTCATAGCCATTTTATAACTCTTTGGTTCAGCCCTAGCCTTCATAGCTTCTCGACACATGTACACTTTTGATAAGTGAGAGGATTGTGAGATTTTTGGTACAAAACTTCTCATAGGTGGAGCTTCAGCCCAGTCTGATTCTCCTGGAGCGTAACGCTGGACAGGACGATGATCGCGAGTTGATCGTCTAGGCTCATCTTGCACGGATGGTTGAATAGTTGTTGTCTGGTCTTTGGTATTAGAGATTGGATCTTCTTCAACGGGAGGTTCATCCTCATGATTAATCGGAGGGGTTTCTAAGATAGTCTTAGGAGTGAGACTCTCCATCAACATATCATCTTTGTCATCCGTTAAATCAGGACGAGTCATAGTGTTCTCGTTTGGTTCATTTTCTGGCTCGTTCCTTTCTGTGGGTTCAAGCGGCAGATCTTCGATAAACAACCAATCAGGGTTGTCTTCGGCATCCTTAAGAAAAGGGAAAACAAGGGGTTGAAAAGTCACGTCGTGACTGGTATGGATTTGATTTGATTCTTGGTCCAAGATAATGAAATTGTGATTATCCTCCGCCACTCCAATCAGGATACCTGGACGGGAGACAGCCTCAAACTTTCCTCCTCGAATTTCTTTTCGAATGTGGCGGTAAGCAAGGCACCCGAAAGGAAGAAAGCGTTTCAAACTCGGTTGTCTTCCTTTCCAGAGGGCGTAGGGAGTAGTTTTAAGATTCAGTGAAGTTGTGATAGTTTGATTCTGTAACATGACAGAATATGAGACCGCGTGATACCAGTATTTAATTGGTATGCATGACTGTATCATCATGCAACGAGCTTTTGTGTTGATTGTTCTATTTGAACGCTCAGCCACGCCGTTCTCTTCCGGAGTGTGAGGAGACGTAACACGAGTGATGATACCCAAGTCTTCCAGGTATGGAGTAAGGAGCCCGTTGATGAACTCGCCTCCTCCATCAAATGAGAACATCTTAAGTTTCTCACCCGTCTGTCTCTCGGCAAAACTGATGTATCGTTTGAAGACTTCAAAGACGGTCTCGGCACTTTTGTCTGGTAGGCCAAAAGAGACTCGGTAACTACTATAATTGTCTGTGAACAATATATAGTATTCCTCTTGGTTGACAGAAGAAGTTCTAATTATTCCACTCAAATCCACGTGCACATTTTCTAGGAATTTGATAGCTCTAGGCCTAGTGGATGAAAATGGTAGGCGATGATTTTTCGCTAAAGGACATACTGGACATCTTGTTATTATTTCAAAATCATTTGTAGTGACAGTTTTAGGAAGTACATCATCAAGATAACCAAGGCTCCACATTCTTTTTAGGTACTTTTCACTTGGGTGGCCTAATGAATAGTGTAGTTTCAAAATTGTGAGTTGATTCGACTTTGATATTGATGATAGATGTGAACGATGACTGACCGGTGATCTTATGGCCACGTACATCATACTGCCTTCTCCGATAAATTGTCCTATGAATAGCTCCTTCTTCCCATGATTGATTCGAAAATGAGGATCTTCTAGCACAGTCGTAACAGCACCAGCTCTCAGCAAACGACCTCCAGCGATGAGGTTTCGGGATAAATCGGGTACATATAAACAATCCTTCAGCTTGATGATTTCTCCTTTAGAATTTAATAAGTTTACATTCCCAATTGAGTGGATATCGAGAGTAGCACCTCCTCCGGCGAGATTCAATTTAGCACCGGGGTCATGATTTTCCATTAATGTAGCGGATTCGAATAAGCTCGCATCATGAAACATGTGATGCGAAGCTCCGGTATCGATCAGAGCGACTGAACCACATTTATCTCCAGCACAGGTTACTTGAGGATCGGCCGAGCATGAAAACTTTCCATCAATCTCTACTCGGTAACTAACTTCTCTTTCTTCAAGTTTGAGATTTTCAAAAGCCATATCGAGTTCTTCTGAATTTGGGAAATCAGAAAGATTAGAATGATGATTTAATCCTCTGGCTAGATGAGCACCTCGGCCACCGCGACCTCTACCACAAAAACCACCACGACCTCCACCACGGCCACCACGTGGATACTTGATCCATTCTCCAGATTCTTGTTTGGATCGTTTCCATGACTCCATTTTGCTGGCATTGTTAGGGTGATGGTAACATTCCAACTGATCGTGAGGTTTTGTTGGATGGTCCTGACCTAGGCATTTAGTCTTACTGCAAGTTTGCCATCTTCCAGTCCGGCGGCTTTTACTGGCTTCGGAAGATTCTGCGATACGACTAGACTGTTGCCGATTGGAGGAAAACATTTTTCGAGTTTGGTAGGTTTTCTTCAATTCGGTTTCGAGGTTTCGGAATTTGACATGACCTGCGTCTAATAAATCACAGCCTTTTTCAGCCCAGCTTTGGTTGAGTGATCGGACAAATTGGCGAGCCTGTTCTTCTTCGGACATTTCACCGTTTGAACCTAGGTAAGCGTCAACTTTGGCTCTGAAGATATCAATATATTCTAATAAGTCTTTTGAGGAGGTTTGAGACAAATCAGTGATTTCGCTTCGTAACATGAGTT